CTTTGAGGGCTGCTACAACCCTTTGCTTTTGGGAGAAAGGGCCCTTGTCCTATCGACAAGACCCACAAGCCTACGGACCCAAGGGAATGAGCTGAAGTGGACTAATTCCCCCTGTAAAAATAGTCTTACTTCGTGGAAACCCTTTTCTTTGCAGGCAAGAAGCTATAGAGGATAAGGTGACAGAGCGAATTTTCCATATATGTCCAAATAATCAGATAGTTAAGGCTTGAATTCTGACTTTGTGGTAAGCATAAGATATGCTTTATATTTCAACCATGTGGCACTATTTTATTTTTTTCTCGGCAGTTTATTCTTCACGATCATATGAAGGGCTTCTACAGATCGAGAAGTAGAGTCATGAGAGAGAAAGATGTAGTACGTACATGTAGTGTTTGAAAGTGCCTATTCTTTATGCAGAAATTCATCATAGTTTTCGTTTTAAAAATTCACATCCTGCTAGTAAATTTTTGAAGAGAAAGTATTTGGATTACAAAGTATTCTGACCATCCATATGTTTTATGGATTCTGATGGTCTAGCCATCACATATTTCAAGAGCCCAAGACACGAATTTGTCTTATTTAACAACGGCTGGCTGGCTCTCTTTCTTTCTTTCTCTCTATCTCTTTCTCTCTCTCTCCATCCATTGATGTGCTGCTAATCCTTGCTTCCTTTTAGATGTCTTATTATAGACTTGAACATCAAAGGAGATTTAATAATTAACTGAAGCAACGAGTGGGTCCTTTTTCTGCTTGCATCTGTCTGAAACTTGGACTTTTAAAAAATATCAAATTCAGTGGACTAGAGGCTCCGAGAATGACAGCTAGAAATTCTTCCATCACAGCCACAACATCTTTTTCAGAGCCAGCTGTAGGTCCACTTCTCGATCCATATCATTCAGATGTGTACACCAATTTCAGCCGACTTGCACAATCAAATGACGTGACTTCTTCTATTGCACCCTTAGCTAACTTCTTCGTAAAACCAGACTTGCTCTCAGATGTGCACGAAGTGTGGGTCCGTTTTCTCGATGTGATGTGATGCTACTCGACTATGACAAAATACGGCTCGAAAGCAAATACGGTTCCACCAGAATGATATCCGTATCGAAATCAAAAACCTTTGAGTTTGTTTCACATGACATTGAACTTAGTTTGGATTCTTATGTCTTGCAGTTATAAAATTTCATAAGACTTCTTTACTTTGATATATAATTGAACAATAGTCTTTAGAAACATTAACTACATCATTTGCAGAGCTTAAAAAAATGATAGCTTTTACGTAAAGTTCTGCTCTCCATTCAAATCTTGGTTGCTTGGACATGGTTGCAACCTCTGTTTTGTCTCGTATCTCCTACTCCTTTATACTGCTCTGAGTTTACTAAAATGATGAGGTCGTCTTTACAGCCTCAAATATCATCATATTCTTCTTGAATCTCAAGCGGATGTAACTTCGAAGCAGAAGGTTTAGTATCTAATGCACATTGAAACTTTGTCATGGTGGAAAGTCTTGATACCTTTGACCCGTTTCTCCTTGTTCAAAAAGTCTCTTCCAAGTAAGTTACTTGAAGTCGGAATTTCGTCTTCGTTCTATGATTACTTTCACCCAAAGGCCTAATCTGAAGAACAGATTAGGCCTTTGAGTGCTTTTCACTAGGAGATCTAATTAATTCGATATTTGTAAGGAGAATCCCTTTTTGATCAACGGTCTGTGCTCATCAGAATACTTTTTATCCGCCAAGGACAAATCAATAACACTGATCACCATATATTGTAATGTTAATGCATGCATATATACACATTATGTAATTTTTATACTATAAATTAAACATTAGTAATGATTGTGCCAGTATTTATGTGATAATAAATTTCCAAAATTTACCTTTATTGTTCAACAATTTTGCATTTTGAAATTATTTTTCATAATATCTACTTATATAAAATACCATAGTACAGAATTATCTATATGACTGATAATTCATTTTTAAACATAAATTACGTTGATAAACTCAAATTACGAGATGGTTAATTTCTACCATTTTACTAAAAGTCGCTATGAAAACTAAATTTGAAACTGAATTCTTGGATTTTTTCTCGTGATATTGAGTATCATGACAAAGAAATTTTGACACTCCTTGGAAAGCGAGAAAGACTTTCATCAAAGAATATATGAGATTGAATAGTGTACTTTTCCTGTTTGAAAATAACTGGTCAGAAATTGATTTTGCTACTCAATTTTACATCTTATGATTTATCAATTGTATGAACAATTTCTGAATTAGAATGAAACCTTTTATTGATTGATTGAGTTATCTGGAATTAACATGTTATCATTTGCAAAAAAAGCTGCACATCAAGGTCAAACTCTTAGCTTCTTTCAGCGTTAGGAAATTTTGCTAAATTAGTTATGTCCAGTTATGATATTCGCTTACAAACTTTATTGTGCATAAAAAAAAAGCAGACAAGATTATATCCAAAAATTATCGCTATGGGCGTGATAAAATCATTTGATTCTTTGAAGATCATTTTTTTTCTAGATATAATTATCTTCATTCACATGGGATCCAAGCTTTTGAGATATTTCCCATACACAGGAAGATCTTTTTACTAATCCAGCTTCCAATCCAAAGCCATGTCTTCTAAGGAATATGGGCAATTTCCTCTCTTCTTGCGCCAGCCATGAGACTTGCAAGATATCCGTTTGAGTGGAACTTGGTGCAAGGGTATAAGGTCAACACGATCAGCAGGACTTCATTCGGTCATAATGCGGACACTTATCCTCCAGTTGGAAAAATGTTCAAGTTTTAAAGTCTGACGTACGTACGTGTATATATATACGTGATGGCACAGTCCGTAATCTGGTCATGCTGTTGTTTTATATGGTTATTGTGTCTTGCGAGGGAATCTGAGGTATGTACACGAGCTAGAGCAGTGTACATATATAGAGCAGCCAGACTGCTGTCTGAGGAATGGCCCTCAATTCCTTCCTCATAAGCGACTGTACTGGCAAGGAGAGTTATGGTATGGCGAATTGAACACGCTTCAGAGGTAAACCCATTAGCACCAAATTGTCAAAGCATCAGCAATTTATGTCTACTTTTGATCCCTGTACTCACGAATGTCAGATCGTATCAGAAGAATACAGGGATTTGCCATCTGACGTTCCGAAGAGCATCTGTAGAGATGAATGACTAGCGTGACTTCGTACTGCCGTGTGAAAAAGTAGAAACGCGAAAGGTAGAGAGCGCATGTGCAATACTGTCGAATCAATACGAAGATCATGAAGAAGTCTTCATGATCACTGCCATGAGGGTATGAACTTCGCGTGCTGAAGAAATGTTTCGCCTCTGGCTTCACTGAAGAAATGTATCGACATGCATGCCAGCCCGGTGAACTAGACTGCCTTGAAGCTGGGAGGAATATCCGAAGATATTCGTTCACAATCTACAGTCGTAATGTCTTCAGAAGGACATGGAGCATTGGGTAGAAGAGTAGAGAAAGATGAAGCAGCTGAATCGGTAGGTGATGAATCGCCAGGAAAAAGGCGGCTTGGGCTGGAGGTGCTTGCTTGAAAAACTACTCGATCCCATTTGATCCATCCCATATATTTTTATCTGACTTGGGCCGGCTTCGGTAACCAGGTTGTAATCCAGCGACCGAATGTGGCTAAATAACTCAGAACTGTATCGGAAATTTAGAAACTGTTATATATATCCCTCTCGCAGCAAGAATGTGGGTCCCCTTCAGAATCTCCTCGTATTTGGTAAATGTCATGCATATGTTGTGCACAAATTTCGATAGACAAGTACATCTGATGATGAGACTTAAATCACAGTTCCGGTGAACTCTTTCCTAGAGAGAATTTTGTCCTCAGGTGTGCACAGCAGTGGGTCCTTTCTTCAGTCAGCTATGGTGTTACTCCACTGCAACGATCCCTTAATCAGAGCCAAATTGTACACATAAGTCAACAGCAGATGATTTCACCAGTTGTCCAATAGAAAGCATTGTTTTGGACTCAATGTCATTTTCATTGGCTTCAAACTTCTAACTGTACTCCATCTCTAACAGCCACAGACATGTGTTCACAGTCGTAATTCTTCTGTAGGCCCCCCTTTCTTTATCAGCCAGTGTACACATGGTGAGATTTCGCATCTGTCTTGAATTTGGAAATCATCTAGAGGGCTGATTCCGGTCTGTAATATTTTTTACCTGCTATCGCTGTAACTAAAATTCTCATTCCAACGGATTCCATCTTCGAGTAGTCAGATCTGCTTACACGCAAATCATAAATCGGCATCGAAGCCATCCATATTGGCGAAGAACCTGGGACCAGAGGCGGGTCCCATCTTTAGCGGATGAAATTCAATACGTGTGGTGGTCTCATGAAACTTTGCGAGTATCGAAATGAATAAAAAATTCTGAAACAAACTCTTCCTTTTCCGAGAGGAATTAGGGGCTGGTCGTCAGATAAAGAGAGGAGCCCACCAGTTTCACATTTGGCGGCGTCGCCACAACGAAGTAAAGGAAGTGGAAGCATTTGTCAATCAAAGGATTGTCTCCAAGTTATTATTCTCATGGCGCATTCCCACTTTTCCTTCTAGCATTTCCGTTATGTACTGCGCAAGTACATGTGGTCAACTCTTCCAGAATGTTGCCTCAACAGCACGATCCAATGACGACCACTAAAACATCCAATTTCTACGTAAGATCTACTGAATTCGAGAGTTTTCAGCTCACCTTTCTGGATTTCAATTTTTGTAGGTTTGAAATCAATCAATGAACAAACCTCGGTTAACTTGCAAAAGGTAGATGTATGACTTCTGCAAAATTATCGTTTTTTGTGTAGTTTTGATCAGAAACAAATCATATCTACCTACAAGTCGGTGGACTCGGAGGTCACATAGGGGTAATTTATCTAAGGTCTCTAATCATCAGTATGACACCCATTTCGATAATACAACAAGATCCCTGTGACCATCACAAACAAACATCAAACCTTGCCTCGTTGAATACCTTTATTCTTGTCCAACATGAAACAGCCTGGATTAAACTTCGAGATGTGACTTAACACCTAAACCTGTTACCTGTTAGTCACCACCAACCGCTACCTTAATCAAAGTCTAATTACGCGTCAGCCTGTTTCTCCATAGAAGACACCGAACTCTTGCTCAAGCTGAACATCTTTAGAACATAATGTACCGATTGCGCAGACGTCAAAATTCCAAATAAACTGGCGAAACTTGAAAATTTCCATGTCCACGTGTGAATGTTCACAATGTGGATATATTCCCGTATTAGTCTTACACTAACAACTTTGGCAAGAATGACCGAGACATATCCATGTTGTACGTGACCTCTTCTAGTTATCACAGCACCGGTTCCTCTCAACTGTGCAACCCGAAACGACCCTACTAACTTCGCTAATTAGCAAACAGATTCATTTGACTCCTCGGTAATTTCCATATGTCCTCCCATGCTGTCCAACCTACGACCTGCAACTGATTGATTACTCCTACTCGTCCATCGTGTGACCTGTCCCTCATTAGGAACCAATACTCGATACTCGTCGAACCTGCGACCTGTCCCCCATCGAGCACCAGTAGCAAATGTCGAAGGTCCTGCGCATCCGGTGTCTTCAAACGGAATATCCGATACCACTGAAACCATCCGATACCATCGAATCCGCTATGGATCACAGCCTTCTTCCTGCGTATCTGACGTCTGCGGTCTACCTCTCTTCGAACCGGAGTGTCCTCGAAATGCTCCCGACATGTCACTTCACCCCGAGGCTCATTCCAGGTAACTCCCCAAGGGTGACACCGAAGTCCGCCGCGTGGCCGACTTCGAACTCGTCCCGGGGGGAATTCGGAAGGCAGTTTCTCTCAGAAGGACCATGGCCAGCTGGTGGCGCAAATCTTCAACGCAGGACATAGCCATCCCAGCCCACAGGGCCTTGAGTGGGTGCCAACATTGCTCTCCGTCGCAGGAGGAGTGGGTTACTAACTCCAGCCCGGAAATCAGGACCCGAGGTACAGCGAGCAAGAGCTCCAGATGCTACGCAACCCTTCTAACCTACGGTATAACGTAGGTTAGAAGAGGACCGACTGACACGTACTGTATGCTGAGGCATGGCTGGGTCTGGTCTGTCTGGGTCCTGGAGTCGGGGATCCAAGGTCTATCCATCGGCCCGACTGAAGTCAAGGTGAGTCTATCCTACCACGTCAAGGGTCTGGTCTGTGCAGCCTTGGGCAGTCAATTCCAACGTGGGCAACTATTGCCTCCTTCCTTTCTACCTCGAAATTCCTTCCGTCTTTCTTTCCTTCCTTCCTTGCTCACTTGATTCCGTCCTTGTGTCGTTCATTCTGGTTGGGGCTGCACTTGCTTGCAAGCGGGTAGTGGGGAGGGAGGGGCTTAGACTCACTCCTGGTGTAATGAATTCGGGAAGCGAGTCAAAGGAGTATGTGGTTGTGATCCACAAGGAATTCGAGGTACAGTGCAGGAAAACAGATTGTGGCCAGGGAAGCATTTTCTTGTACTGCAATTCGATACTGCGAGCTAGCTGACCTCGAACAATGGCATTGATGATTTTCCTCTGATTGATCTCGTACTGTGCAGCAAAGGGTATTTAAGTCGGTTGGATGACGAAGTGATCATCCAAGGATCCAATTCATTTCCTCATTGTAAACTTCAATGGTAACTAGGACTGAACGAGTTGCAAGTTCCGACGAATTCCACCTCTGCCGTAGACTCACTCGTACACTTTTTGAGGATGAGTATCCATTAGGAAAGGCGTTGAGAAACTAAAGTGGCGATATATTCAATTTACGTCAGTAGCGTCAATTGTGGTCAGCAATCTTTTCGGATGAATGGTTGATTGTCAGCTCTCTCGAGTGGTGCTTGTAGCATTGGATTGGTCACCACCTTCATATGGTCATTAAGTTCTCAATTTAGCGATGTAAGTAATGTACTTGTATCATAAAAAGGTAAAAATCATAAGTCGAATCTGCACTCACCCCTGATACCTTACCACTAGTTCAATAGCTGGATGATGTTGAGTTTCACACTGCACGCAAAGTATGACGGTGTGTCAAATGTAGCTTATGTGAAGAATCTCCAACAATTGACAAATTCTTGAAGAACTTTTTTGTGATATGGAAAATATTCACCTCAACGCGAGGCTCTGTTTGATGATCTCTAGACGTGTAATCTTTCTGGATATTTTTCAAGCAATCAAGTTTTTGCAATTATAGTTGGTATCTAGTAACATGACAAGATTTTCGTCTTCTCTTCTTACTCATAGGTATATACAACTCTGAAATGAAAGATCCCTTCATGTCCTTCGTTCCAAGTATGACTAAATTTATGTAAGAAAACCCTTTGACTTCATGTAAAGCACATCACAAGTCGAGCATGAGGCTTATTCGGCTTTTCATATGAGGCTCAGTCCTTCTAAAGCATGTAATAATGACATGTCATACAGATGCTCGAACTTTTCAAAAAAAACGTCTGAATGTCAGTTGCATAAAGCTTCGAAAGGAAAGTCCTGCAAACTTCTCATGGTTTCATGGAGAGTTAATTCAGACCTGTGTTGTTTGGAGGATTTGAGCTTTTGTCAATCATGTGACGGGTTCAGAATTCAAAGTTAGACGCTAAAATAAAAGACTTTATATACAGTAACATGACCAATGTCTACCTTATAAAGTGAGTATTTTAGATGGTAGGGTGTAGAATTTCCTATAGTTTTTCGTATTGATGTTGTATTATTGAGCTCAGTAAATGTGAAGTGGAAATGACTGACTGTTTGACTGATGGACTGATGGCATCATAAGCGAGTCCATTTGTAATCCGAATATGAATATATATAGAAAAACATTTTCATACACACCCAGTACAGAGATCAGGAAGTCGTGTAAGCATGGTGTGCGACTAACTTGGCCAACGAGGTGCTTACATAGGGTATCAGTCACAAATGTGTGGATAAGTCAGTGGAATTTTCGCTGCAGTCTTCTTTTGACCCAAAAGCTGACCACATTCCCGAAGACTGTTTCATGGAGTATAATCCGTAGTCTAGAGTCAGAAACTTGTTCCTGGCTTCACCTCAATATAGACATCCCAACGAATCCGGTTCACATTCTGCCCATAAGAAGCTAAGATAAGCTCGCATATAAAAGTTATTAAAGCTTCTGGACCAGTAGGACCATAAAACTCACTCAAGTGCAATAAAAGTTGTGAATAGATGGTCGATCGGCATGCAATTTATCAAGATTTATTTCCTCAATTTATCGTCAAATACAGCTAATTCATGGAGAAGTTCAAGCTTCAATGGATGCACATCTCCAGGAGTCAGCATCAAATCCCATATATCTCTATCATAGTGTCCATCTCACGTTAGTTGTGTTGGAAGACTTCTCGATCTGAGTTCAACTTGCAGCTTCCATGATCCAGATTCTGAAGGTTTTATTGCCTCAATACCAAGGGTCATAAGAAGCTAACAAATCTGGAACCAACCTGATATTGTACTGTTCTGTTATATGCAAGCATCTGAGAAGCAGACTTCCGATTCGAATCCCATACAGCAAAACAAGAACTTACGTCGATAAATGTTTGAGGGGTATGTACGCGCCTATTCCGGACATTGCAATTGAGCTGCAGTCAGTGCTCTGGTACTGGCAATCTTTTGAGCCTGTGCGGAATATGGAAGAGTATGTCTCTGCATCTCGAGATATTTATAGCACTTGTGGAATCGACTGAAGGTCATATGTAACTCATATCTCAGATCTTTTTGGGTGGAAATCATTGTGCCAGGAAGCTCCAATTAGTCTCTTGCAAGGTCTTGGATTGATTGTTGTCGTTGTTGACCTGTTGCATATCTTTTTGCTGTTGTATGTACATGTCAGGCAGAGAGACCTTTTAGTTCTAGTGAGGCAGAAGGACACCTTTTATCTAACGCCCACCAAGTGCCAATGAGAGGCAACATGGACCGGCATAAATACACCAAGCTTTAGCAACAACCTATAGCTCCTTCCTTTGAGTCATCAACTCTACTCTACAAGCTCACAATATATGAGATGAGTCAGAAACGAGAGGTAGTACATGTATGATCTTTTGTATCACCAACCAACAAATGGCCCTTGTTCCGTGTCTCGCACATCTCTCTCGTGCAGTGTGTTGAAGCTGCCCCGGTTGAAGCTCCTCTCTAGACACATTTGCTGCAAGACCAAACGAACCTCGAGAGTAAGATTTCTCTTCTAAAGGTCAGGCCAAAATTTCGACAATTAGCATACCTATCCATTTTGAGCAACAGGGAGGAATCATAAGGACTCGAGTTTCTCGTAAGCCCCTGGTTTGGAGAACAGCCAGAAGTGGTATGTTTGTTGGTGTCACGCGAGCCTTGTTGACGGGTGGAAACGATTGCCCACTGCATAACTTGGACGAGGAGAAAGAATATTTCCTCACATATGCAGCGAAGCCCTGTGTGGTTCTTTTAGTTTCCATCTCCAAAGGATGTAGGTTCATTCGCAGGACACAGCTGATCCTGGATTGGACCGGACTGTGCTAGCTGGGTTTGGAAGCAAGGGAGAAGATAGACAAGCGGGAAGATCATGTAGAAGCCAGGCGACCTTTTCTGTCCTACTAAGCCCACCAAATGTACAGGAAACAAATATCCAACTCACCCGGAATTTGAAATTGGTGATTGGAAGGCATCATCACCTGAAGGGCTTGGAGTCAAAAGGGTGGCGGCACAAAGACCCACCAATATAAAAGTAAAACATGTGGAGCAAGGCAGAGTGGATAGTGTAGGTCAAAAACCAGAGCTTGTCAAAAACCACACAAAGTTCAGAAACTATTTGACATGTCCAGAAAAGCTTAAAGTGAGAACAAAGATCGAGGAGAAAGATAAACGGCAATAAATGAAAAGGAAGAGATCTTCTGCTGGGATGATGATGATGATTTATGCCCTTCAGAACCGTTGAAATTTCCTGGCGAGACTGGGAATGTCTGTGGAATGAAAGGCACGAGTGCTTGTGGGACTACTGTAGTGGGGGCCATTTGGACAAGGATCTCCAATGCTGCGGAAAGTTCATGCATCTGGATACATTAGTCGAATACAATACTCCAGAGGACAAGACGAAAAGATTTGATTTCTTTTTGTTCCTCTAGAGTGATTCCCAACGAGCTCCTGTCATCCTTTGTTCATTCCGGTCCCCAATCTTTCGTGCTGCCTATGGCTTCTTTTTCTTTCTTTCACTCCTTCAACCATTTGTCTTCCCTACCCTGCGTTCTCTTATCAACCTTACAGTACTTCCATCCATGGATCCTTTTCTCCCCGGCCTCGGCATCATTGTCCTTTTCTTCTTTCTGGTAGGATAGTACACTTTTTCCCCCCTCCCGCTCCATAGATCTTTTTCGTCCATGATACAGTATATCAGAGCTCAGACAGAGAATGAGCACCTTCTGGCTTCTGGTAAGACCACCGTACATGGTCTGCTTTTTCCTTCAACATTCTTTTGCTTTCTGGGACTCATCGGCCTCACTTTCTATCTCCTCCGCGCTGTTGCCTTTTACGTTGAGTGCACAACACCATCCGTTTGCACCACCATCATCTTCCTTCGCTCTTTCAAAGTCGGTCTGTCGATGCGGGTGGAGGGACGAGATCTGATCGTGGTGCCGACGAGAATGAATGTACTTAATGTACTTAATTCCATAAAAAGTCCAAACGTTGGAACTATTCAAACAAAACTGACAAAAAAACAAAAACAAAAAGAAGCAAAAAAACCACTGGAGTAGAGCTTTATCCTATTTTTCCCTTTGTTTACGAATTTTGGTGGTAGAGATGAGAATGATATTCTCGTCGAAACCACGATCATACTTCATCCCTCCACCCTCATCACCGCTTCCGGATGTGTGTGCTTCGAAAGTTCCGCTTCGAAGCTGTGCAAATGACATTTCGTTTCAGCAGGGAGTCATGGCACATCATGACATGCAGGCATCACGTATTTCCAGCATGAAGAGT